TTGCAGATCATGGCTTTGCTGATTAAAATTAATGAGCTCCCTCAGAGTCCCTTGGATGTGTGTAAAATGCATTCTTTTATCCTCATGTATTCTGATAGATGGAAAGAGACTTTTTCATGCTTCATGACCAAACTTATTATTTTTATGTCAAATTTACCCCAATTTTTTTCCCAATGTTGTTTCAAGACAGTGTGAGATTGCAACAGATGAGGACTTGAGCTAATCCCCAATAAACATCCCCAACAATTGAGAAGGAAACCTTATGGCAAACAGATTTTAGCATAAGTGGATTAGTTTCCCTGAAGGTTTGAAGTGAGGGTGTTTTTTGTAGGGTTTGTTGTTTGGTTTGGTTTTTATTTGTTTTAATTTTTTTAAATAAAACTGTTCTATTTAAAAAGATTTTAGAAAGGGGTGATATCAGGAAAAGAATACACTTTGCAAATAGAAAACTCAGTGGTAATACAGCCTAGAAGGGTGAAATGTAAACTTCCTTACTGAGCTCAATACAATTTATAAATTTTGTATAGCTGGAACTAAACTTCTTGCTGGAGTTGTTTTAAAATGTGTCTTCATAAACACTTCCCATGGAGATATTCTTTGTAAAAATAAACGTTAATAACCAGCTGACAGAGAATTTATGGAACCTTGGTCTCAACTGCCTCTTGGCCCCAGAGGATTATGGTACAGTAAACCCAAATTTATACAAAGAATGAAATATACAGTAGGGCAGGACAAAAGGAACAGGGAAAGCCTTTCACTGATTTCCTAACATTAATATAGTGACATATTCCTGTTGCTTTCGCTGCAGCAGATGCATGGACTGCAAATACCAGTGTTTAATATTTCTGAGTGATCTAAACAAATCAATTTCTCCTGAAAAATGCCAGGATCTGTGCACAGGGGGTAACTGCAGTGTAGGTAGGAATGGTGTTTCCTCAACTGCCTGTCAGGAATGACTTAATCCTGCTTTGCAGATATTGCCTCTGCATCCCGGGATGTGTTAATTTCCATGCCCATTCATTTGGAAGGCTCTGCTGGGACTGTCAAAGAGATGCTAATTATCATCAGCCACGGTGATCCCTGGGGAATTATGCTGGGATTGAGAAACCAGGGAATTGCTGGAGTTACAGTCAGGGATTAAAGTGATGAGTTCTGCTCCCTCTGCTTTTTCCTTTCTCTGCCAGCTAGGGGGACAGCTCTCACAGGCAGTCCTGGTGCTCTCCAGGTGCCTCTCAGCCCATTTTGTCTAATATTGGTGCTGATTTTAGGTTAAATCAGCAGCTTCATTAAAGAGCAGAACGTGGAAGTCCGGTGGATTAATTCCATGGAGCAACACGTGCTGCCTGCAGTTAGGCAGAATTCAAGTAGGGATTTCTGCTCTGCTAACAGGAGGGCTCTGGGAGGAATTTAGGGGAGCTGCAGTAGTGTTACTATCTGAAAATCTGAACAAATTTTCCTAAGATGAAAAAGCTGAATTTTCATTCGGAAGATAAATAAAATCTGTCAGAAATCTCTGCTGCTGTTGATGAAATCTCCAGGATAGGAGATAATTTTAAATGATGGCTTTTCTTCAGGATAAATGCCTGTGTCATTTAAAATATTCCCTGTTCTGTAGCAATCTGGAAAAGCCCTTTTTTTTTTTTTTTTTTTTTTTTTTTTTAAATAACTGCAAGTTCCTTATTGTGATCAAACTAAATGCAGTTCATTTAGTGGTGCAGGCTGAAATGAAATGCATGTGAATGTTCTTTGAATCCATTTAATAATTTGTTATATCTTAACTACATAACAGCAAAGTGAGGAGAAGTAATGTCTGTGACTGAGTTTCCTGTAGGTAAAATCTGATGAATTGCAGCTTTTTTCCTTGCTTCTGGTCCATTATTCATAATTTGGACATCAGGGCTGTGTATTCTCTCTGTGTGAAGTTAGGTCATTGTAGACAAACAAATTCCTCAGTTTTGGAAAATTTCTTCTTGCTTTTTGCTTGCTTTGGTCCCTGTTTATATTTTTTATGGCAAAACTAAGGTTTTGGTGCTGATTTTAGCCCTTTATTGCTGTACTGAGAAGATCTGGAACCTGTTTTCTCAGTGACACTCCCATGAACAATTAGGGAAGTCAAAGTTGTAGGGTTTTTCATTAGAGGTGATGGTGTACCCAAATGAAGATTTGGGTACAGTTACTGGTTTTTTCACACTGAAAGGTGGATATGACAAATTGGAAGATATTTATTTTTAAACAATTGACTTCTGTATGTAAAAATAAAGTAATGCAAAAGAGTATTGTAGAATCTACCATGACTGCCTGGCGTAATTGGGGTGCAGAAGTGAATTTTTGTAGTTTCAGTGATCTTTATGCTGTATTTCCAAATGTCTTATGAATCCTGACCTGTTTCTGTATTAAAGGCATCTTCTGTTTCCAGGTCCCCAGCATTGTGAGGCTGCATTGATTTAATTTCATCCTGGCTCTTCCAAACCAATGACAACTATTTTTAGTTTTCAGTTATCTTCTAGAATACCCCATTGGAAAACTCCTTCAACCCACCAAATAATATCACTTTCCAAAATTACAAAAAAAGAGAACCCCCAAAACAACATAAAACCTTCCAACCAGCAGGAGTTTTTATTTAAAGCCTTTTATCTCCTAGTACTTTTATCTTCTAGTACTTGAACTGTGATCCCCTTCTTGCTCTCTTATCAATCATTTCTTGCAGTTACTCACCTGCAGGAAGTGTGTTATCTATTGGGAATATTTTCTTTTCTTAATCAATGTTTGGTGTAGGAGGTTTAATTACTGTTTTTCATCCAGCAGTACTTTCTTCTGTACATTCCTCTCAAATGTATAACAATCATTCTTACTGAGTTACATAATATAAAAGTAAGAAATTTAATTTCACTATGAGTCAAGGAACTTTCCTTCCTTAAAACATCGCTTAAATTTGGACAGAAAATATTTTCAGGATGAAAAGTTAGGCTTGTCCCTAAGACTGTCTCTCATTTTTCCAAAAGATTTTTACATTGAGCAATGAATAATATTTTGCTGAAGCTTTCTTTGGCTTTTGGTCAAGTGCTATAAATGAATTCATTAATGGGAATTATTTTTGGGTAGCAGTAGTGGGTGTGTGTTTAAAGTCCAGTGGTGATGCATGGTACTGTGAGAGTCAAGTGTATTCCATCTTTTCTTCAGCAATTCTGAGAGTTTTAGTTTACAAGAAAGAAACAAACACAACAAAAATCCCCAAGCCTGTGGTGATCAACCCTCACCCATGAGCCAGTCTGCTGCTATTTGTGAGATTGAATTCTGGCCTGCCTGAATTCAATCTTTAAGCCTTTCTTTTGGTATAATTCAAATAAATTATTTTTTTAGAAACAGAAGAAAATAAAGTATTTTTAAAATTAATTTTAGACACAGAAGAATTCTGTGCCTAAACAGCAAAAAACTGCTGAACATGAGGTCTGTGCTCACCAGTGCACATTGCACAGGTGAAAACCGAGAAAAATTTCTTTATTATGCTGGCAAAATTTAGGTTTTGTATATGGGGTTCACCTCTGGATTTACTTTTTGGCTGAAATAGAGGGTGTGGGAGGAGAACAGCAAAAAGGAAGGGTAGGAATTATGATAGTAAATTTATTCCAGTTGTTGGGTTCTTGACAGCCAGCTGTTCTGTGTGTACTCATTTTGAAGAGGCCAACTTTGAGTAGTGATGTTGAAATATATAAAATAGTATTTGTGCAAATGTTGGACACGCTGCCCCAGACAGGTAAAGAGTAACTATCATAAATATATTTTCAGCATTTAACACTGGAAAACTATGCATATCTGGTTAAAGTTTAGTGTGGAGGCTTAGGATGTCATTTAACCCTTCTCAGCATTTATTGCAGGAATGTATCTTGTCTGTGCTGGACTTTGGAACTTGTTAATTACCTTGTGCCTTGGAAATATGTCAGCTAATACCTGTTGTCACCCTGCAAGTATCTGCAAGTCTGGGATGTTGTGTAGTGCATGCTGGTGAATATTTAATATTATTAAATGTTAAGCTTGTGCTTCACTGAGGGCAGAGGCTCTAGGGAGCCTCTGATTAATTTATCAGTGTTGTTGGCCAGAAACATGTTTCTTTGAGAAATGGTGAAAATGCCACTTGTGGGCTGTGTGTTCCCTCCCTGCTTCGTTTTCAGTACACGTGGGTAACAATTGTGAAAGGAATGGGGGAAAAGGATTCGTTATTTACTTTCTGTGAAAAACGTTTGTGTTGAGTCTCAAATTATGGCATCTTTCATCCACATTAGGATTAAACCACCCTAAAATGCACAGAAACCTAATAAACAGGGAAGTTACTCTAATAGCTTCAGCCTCAGTCACCACATTGTTATTGAATATATTCCAGCTGAAATTTTTGCTGTTCTGGATATCGTTGTCTTGAAAATTATAGGTCATTTACAATTTCATTTTGAAAGCAGACGTACCAAATGAAAATGCACTGCAGGATGTTGATAGCTGGAATTAAAATGTCTGCATAACTTCTGAATGCATTAATAGGGTTTTTTTTTTTTTATTTTATGGAGGATTTTAGCTTAAGGAAGGATTTTTTTGTCTTGGCATTTGAGTTTTGAGTAGGTAATTGTCAAAGTGGAGAGGGGTTTGTTGTTTAAGTGTAGATAAAGCACGTTTTATGAATTTACATGGTAATTTAAATAGGTGGATGAACCTGGACAGAGCCAGCTTCAGCAAAGGAGGCAGTGAAAGTCCAGACACTTTGTCCAGTTTAAGGCTGCTGGTCATTCTCTCCACTGGCTACTAAGGGGTACAGAGGGAAAAATATCTTTCCAGTCTAAATTCAGTCTTTTTGAACATGCCTCTATGTCACAAACTTCTCCCACTTCTGAGGCCCTTTTGGGACTACAGAGATTTTTGTAAGAAAGACACAGAAAAGAAATATTTTAGGGGTTGTCTTGAGACACTTCAGATGTTAGATTTCTTTTGACCTTGGTTGTTTTTCCTCTTGGCAGCTCTGGAACGAAGGGATTCCTCCCTGCTGGGCAGCCCAGACGTCGTGGACCCAGCTCCCAGGAGAAAAAGAAGGCAAAGGACAGCCAAACCTGCAGGGACAGGAGCTAAGGTGGCTGCTTACGAGGCAGAGCAGCCAGCCCAGGAACAGTAAGCAGGTTTTAATTGTATTGGAATGTTTTTATGTTCACAGACCTCATCAGGGTCGTGGGATTCCAAACCCACCACCCTGATTCTCAGCACCCTGAGATTCTGCCTTTGGGATTCCAATGCAAGGAAATTACCTCTCAATTTTGTCTTTAATAGGATTTTTTCTGAACGTGAAGTCTCCAGGCAGAAAAAACAGTTTGCTCTTACAACACAAAAGGGGTCAGGATTTGTAACAGTTAAAAGTATTTTTCTTGTGTCCATTTCAACTTCTGGAAATCTTTCCACATGTTCTGGGAGGTGCCTATAGCTATGCTATAAAGTTGCCTCAGAGCTCTGTCGGAATTGGTAGTATTTTCTTCAAAAAACTATTTTTTTTTCTAAATATATGACAAATTACATTTGAAAATACATATTTTTAATTTTTATCTGTAATATTCCATGGATTGTAAACTCTTTCAACAGCCATGGACACAAGTAGATTACAAAGACATTTCCCATGATTAGCAAAGATTTCTGCTTAAATCAGCAGGAGAATTATCTCATTTTGACGTAAAAGTTGTGGTTTGACGCCAGCTAGGAATGCTTGAATTTATAATCCTGTTTTGTTAGTTAAAAATTGCAATTTTTTAGGATGGTGTAGAAATATGCCAGACCTTGTTTTTTTGTTCTTTTACATCCCACTCCATTGCAATGGAAAATGTCCTTTCCCTTGTATTTGGTCAGTTTGATTTTGACAGCCTGGCTGTGCTTGCCTGAAATTCAGCTTCATTTTATTTAATATTGATTGTTGAAGGAAAACCTGTTGAGGCAAAGTATTGCAAATATACAGAGGCCTTCCACTGAGTAATTGTCTGTTTATGAAAATCTGAGTCCTGTGCATAGGGAGGCAACTAAGAAGATAATGATATTTTTGTTTTAATTCTTTGAAATAAGGAAAATTTTAGTAGAAACAGAGCAGTGTTATGATTTTCATATGTGCAAAGAATTTCTGCTCTGAGTTAGGGCTGAATCTAAAGAGTGGCTCTTCTTATTGGCTACAACATAATTAGTTTCATTTTGATTCTGGACATTTGGAACATCCATTCTATATCAGTCTCTATCTCCATTTTCCTTTCTTGCACTTTATGTGTCAGTGGAAATTCTTGGATTAGATAGGAAGATAGGAAATATCCCTGTTTACCTGAAACATTACAAAAGCTGAACTGAAATAATTTCCACTTTCCTGGTTATTTTTCTCAACGTCACTGAAGTCTCTGAGTTTCACCTGAAGCCTTTTGCCAGCTGCTAATCAAGTTTTCAGTCAATTTGCTTGGCTAATAATTTTCAGTTCTCCTCATCCTGTCAGAAGTGGGGAGATGGAGAATTAACACCGTGATCCAGTTCACACATAGAGGTGTTCTTTTTGTGGAGCAATTTGTAATTACTCCAGTAGTTTGTGCTGATGGAATGCCAGATCCTTGGTGCTGCAAAGGGCTTTGTCTTAAGCTGACAGCACGCTGGGGTCCTGCCCAAAATGTTTTCCAGTGTTGTGTCACTGAGCAAAAATTTAAAAAAAAATTAAAATTAAAATTTATTTATCCAAGCCAAGAGGTGGCAGTGGGGGAAGTTGACTTGGAAGTTCCTTCACCTCTGGAAGTGCTCCATCACAAACAGGGAGATGGGGAGCATGTTCTGGGATCAAGTGCCAGATTTGATCTGATTTCATGATCACGTCTGCAAATGCACCAAGGAGTCCTCCCTCCTTCTGGGCTCTCCTGCTCAGACCTGCAGCCAGGGCTGGCTCCTTAATGTAAATAAAAATGTAAGTGCTTCGAGGCCAAGTCACACAAAACCCTTCTCCCACAGATCTTGCTTTATCAGATAGAGCTTATTTAGGGTTGTTTCCCATGTGGAATTTCTGGTGACATCACCAGTGCTCTCAAGGGGAGGGAAGGGCTGCCACAAACCCAGCACCTGCAGCCTGATGCTGCCCTAAAGCTGCTGCATCCTGAGTTCCTTGGTACAACATCCTAAAAAACAAAAAGACTTAAAAATACCTTTATAACAAAGGAAAGCACCCAAGGTTTTATTCTCCCTTTGTCTTTCAGATTGCTTTTTGAAAACACAGTGTTTTTCAGTGTTATCACATAAGAAAAGTTGTGTCTTAACCTTTAAAAAAAGTTGTGTCTTAACTTTCATGTACTTCTCATAAGACTTCACAGTATGCTAAGAAAGTAGCATTTATCCTAAACTCAAGAGCATCTACAGTAAGTACTAAGTCATCAAAACCTAAAGGATTCTATTTCTGCAAATATTTTAGATTTATGGATGCTGAGGCTAGTTGTGTGGCAATTCTCTGCTCCTTGGAATGAAAATATATTCTTGGATATGACCAAAAATACTCAGAAGAATGCAAATAAAAATGTGCTTGACACAGAAATTAGAGCAAAAGGAGTGCTGCCTTTCTCATGCTTTGTGTGTGGGTGCAGTGGCAGGAAAATGAGTTGAATTGTATTTATCCATATGGACATCTAGTATTACTGTGGCAATTTATTCAAGGGCTAAATCAACATTTCTAATGAACCTTGGCAATGTGCTTTGGATAATATTAAGCTTAGTGAAAGTAGCCATGAGAGCAGCAAGGAACTGAACTAGGATTTGTGGAACAAGGTCTCTAAGTGAACTGTTTAATTATTTGCTGAAATAAAGATGTACTTTAGGATAAAGTAGAAATGTAGAATAATTAGTGGGTTAGCCAGCTGCCAAGAATGAGGTTTATCCAGCTCTCTAGCAGGTTGTTCTTAAATCAGAGATATCCAGTGGAGGGAAATGCTTCTTTGGACAGACAGATGTTACTTTTACTTATTAACAGCTGACCTATGGCTCTTAATTTACACATTTTAAAAATATGTAAAGACAAAAAGTAGATCTTTCTGTTCAAAACACAATTGAGCCAGGAAGCAAAATAAAATTACTCTGATTCCAGTACACCCTGATGGTCTTGGTGCAGCTTTAACTCTAACTTAATATCTGGCAATTTCCTAAGGTGCAAGGCAGAGATAATATATAAGTCAAGTTAAGATGCAAATTCTGCTTTTCACAATTTGCATTTCATAATTGGAGGAGAAAAAAAAATTAATAAGAGCATTCCCAATCCACAGTTAGAAGTTATGCTTATTGAGGCATTACCCAAATCTCTTTGGGGGCTGCATATGAATGGCACTATTAGCTGTGTGCAATATGCATTCAATATAGAGGCTTAGCTGTATGGCCTGTCAGCCTGAATCCTGTAAATAACTGGATGTTTCTGTAATATTTTCACTTTAAGAGTGCTGGAACCTACTAGAGAGCACACAGTACTTACTGAGGATGGCAAAAATTTTAATATAATTTAAAAAATTATTAATTAATTAATTTTATAATTTTAAAAATTAAAAAATAAGTTATTTGACAAAATCTGCAGTCAGAGACTGCAGTGGATCAGAGATGGAGTCTCTATGACTAAAATAAAGATAAATGAGAAAAAAGCTTCCATTTCTAGTGCAACTTACACCTTTGCACTTTGATTTATCAAAATTGAGGTGTTTTTTAATGAATTAAGACGAACAAAACCTTTTTATTTCTGTCTTTCATTTTTTGCTAATAAAGGATCTTTTATGGTCCTCATTGATACATGTGTTTCCTAGGAGAAAGGCTTTGCTGGATAATGCTCAAAATATCTATAAGTTATTCTGTATATTTCAAAATATAATCCATTCCTGCTGCTCGAGGGTATTCATAATTTCTGTGCTATTTAATGCATGCCTGCTGTTGAGTAGATGTACAATTACAGAAGTGGTTTGGGGAAAGGCATCTTAAATACAGGAAAAACATTATTATGGATGCAAATACGCTGGATTCTCCTGAGAATAAGACTAGAAAAATACTTTTAAAAAAGTTCTTACAGAGGAAGTGCTCCATAAATCTGAGAAGCAAGTGTTAAGACATACTCTTAATCCAGCTGACTGAGAAATACCTGTTTTTCCTTGTCTTTTTTTTTTTTTTTAATGAGGAATTCCCTGTTTACACCAAGCACTGTGACTCTGACTTAGTGGTTGTTCTGTGTGCCAAAAAATTCAGTTTTATAAGTCTGCTTCAGTACATTTAATGTCACTATTACTGCCTTTACTTTTTTTTTTTTTTTTTTTTTTAATTGAAATTTGACTTTTGCTGGCTTGGTACTTCTTTCTTGAGTGATAAAATGGAGTGACTGTCAGAATCAGGCCTAAATGTAAATTGAAGGAAAGTGATACCTTATCTCTCTGCATTTGGCTTTGCTGAAATTTCGAGATGCAGGTCAATTTGATGGGACCTTTGCCACCAGGAATTAAATTATTTCCTTTTTTTACACATAAACCCTGCTTCTTCAGAGAGCTCTGAAAGGGTTCAACATATTTTTAGGAGCTCTCAGAAACACCCAAGCAAACCAGAGAAACGTAATCAGGTTTCTGAGCGTGTGTTTGAAGGTCCCAGGAGTTGCCAGGGGGAGGCTTGTGCCACCTTGCCATCCCTTGCTCCATCAGAAGGAATGTAATTTTTACTTTAAACACGATTGCTACGGTGCTCACACTCCCTGTTTGTTCCTGACTTCAGGGCCTGATTAAACTTAGTCATGTGTGTAATTGTGGGTAGAATGAGCTGCTGCATGGTTTTTGCTTTTTAATGATAAATGTGCATTTTTAATTTTTTTTTTTTGACCAGTGTTCATGCTCTCTTCCCTTCAAAAGGTTTTTTTTCGAGTCTTTGCAGGTATATGTAATTTATTTGGAAAGAAATCCTTTAGCATTGTATCCCCATACTGTAATAAGCTGGACTTGTCTTCTCTTTTGATAAACTTCCACCCCCTTAAAAGCACTCGGAGCCTGTGGTGAGCCCAGGGCTCCCTGGGGATCCTCTCTCTGCATTTGTTTAATTCATTGCTTGTGGTTCACATTTTTGGAGCTCTAATGCAGAAGTTTATTTAAAGTGTGGTCTGCCACCAC